GTTCAGAGCCTCAATGATGACAGGAGTGAGGTTTGGCTCCTGAGCCTGTGTCTGCATCTGCTCTGGCTGTACAAGTGTCAACTCCGGGTGCTTCAGAGGAGTAAGTGTAACCTCCTGCTGCATCACAGCATGCTCAGCCTCTGTAGTGACATTAGGACTTAGGGTAAACCCCATGTCCAAGGGTTGTACCACAACACTGGGCAATGCTGCAGGCAGAACTGTATGGTGACCCCGTGGTCTTGGATTTGTCACTCCATGTGGTACTGTATGCTCTCCTAAAGGCTCCAGAGATGGCTCAGGAGGCTGAGATGGGTTCTGCTGAAAAGTTGGAGAGAGCTGAACCTCTGCAGTAGGTACAGGAGTTATGTGATGTTCCAGGTTCAGAGCCTCAATGATGACAGGAGTGAGGTCCGGCTTCTGAGCCTGCGCTTGCGTCTGCTCTGGCTGCACTAGTTCCAACTCCGTGTGCTTCAGAGGAGTACCCGTAACCTCCTGCAGGATCGCAGCATGTTCAGACTCTGTAGAGACTTGCAGACTTCGTGTAAAGCCCATGTCCAAGGGTTGTACCACAACACTGGGCAATGCTGCAGGCAGAGCTGTATGCTGATCCAGTGGTCTTGGATTTGTCACTCCATGTGGTACTATCTGCTCTCCAACAGCCTGCATAGATGGCTCTGGAGGCTGAGATGGGGTCTCCTGAAAATTTGGAGAGAGTTGAACCTCTGAAGAAGGTGCAGGAGTTATGTGATGTTCCAGGTTCAGAGCCTCAGTGATGACAGGAGTGAGGTTCGGCTCCTGAGCTTGTGCCTGGGTCTGCTCTGGCTGTACAAGTGTCAACTCCGGGTGCTTCAAAGGAGAAACTGTAACCTCCTGCAGGCTCACAAAATGTTCAGCCTCTGTACTGACTTTAGGACTTAGGGCAAGGCCTATGTCCAATGGTCGGATTATGACACTGGGTAATGTTGGATGCTGAGTTGAGTACAGACCTGGTGGTGGAGCTGTCGTCTCATACACCAGTGGCTCCTGAGGCTGAGCAGAGGTTGACTGAAGTACTGGAGTTGGTGCCTTGGGAAACTCCTCATGAAGTGTAAAGGAATCTACCTCTTTTGGGGCATCTGAAGTTAGAGCTATGACTTCTTTCTGAGCTGGAGAAGATTCAAATTTTTCAGGTAACTGTTCAGGCTCAGTAGCGTGTTCCTGCTGGGTGACAGAAGGTTCTGCCTCCAGAGTGGGCTTTGCAGCTGCAGTGAGGTCCAGATCCCCATGGCTAACTGTGGTTTGAGG